ACCTCTCCTAAAGAGGTAGGGGAAACAATTAAGGCACTCAAAAACAGAAAAGCCCCAGGGCCGGACGATATAAGCATTATCATGCTCAAAAATCTACCGATTAAAGCGGTTGTACACCTCCATTATATAATAAATGCCATTTTCAGGCTACAACACTACCCTAGTAGCCTGAAAGTGGCAAATATCATACCGATTCTCAAACAAGGTAAAAACCCAAAACATATTGAAAGTTACCGACCTATCTCACTGCTGAACACAATAGCAAAAATCACAGACAAAATCATTTTAAAAAGACTAAAACAAATAGAAGAACAACGACAAATTGTCCCGCAGGAACAGTACGGATTCAGAAGCGGACATAGCACCGTGGCCCAGGTCATTAGAATCGTGCATCATGCCAAACAGGCGTTTAATAGTGACCTGCAAACGGTGCTTGTCACCCTAGACAGTGAGAAAGCTTTCGATACCGTATGGGCCTGCGGGTTAATTCACAAGATGCTGGTGAATGAATTTCCAGTGCATATTGTAAAGATAATTCTGTCTTACTTACAGGACAGACAATTCAACATTAAACTAAACTCCACAATTACAGGACCATACAAAGTGCAAGCGGGAGTACCTCAGGGCTCGGTACTATCGCCGCATCTGTACACCATCATGACCCATGATATGCCAATGGGACATAATGGTGTACAGACGGCGCTATACGCCGACGACACCTGCGTCTTCAAAAGTGACACATCAGCAGAAACAGCAGTCAGAGACCTGGACGCCCATATAAACGACACGTTAATCCCCTATTTAGCTGAAAACAAAATGAAACTTAACTCCACAAAAACCGAGTGTGTCCTACTCACAAGAAGGAGAACACAACCAATACTCAACCCACTAAAAGTTGGAGACAATGAAATCCCAACTAAAACATCGCTAAAATACCTCGGATTTCAGCTAGATAAGGGATTGACTTTTAAAACGCATGTAAAAGAGAGGGCAAACAAAAGCAGTGCAGTCACGCGCATGCTGTACCCATTATTAAATAGAAGAAGCAGGATGTCACTAGCAAACAAACTGCTACTATACAAAACCATACACAGGCCTATACTAACATATGGGTGTCCAGTGTTCTGCTCAATGGCAAACACTCACTACAAAACTCTGCAAATCGCTCAGAACAGGTGTATTAGGCTAGCCCTGGGCTATGATCGCTATGCACGAATTACGGACATGCACATACAAACAGACATCCCTTACATTAAACAATTTATACTCTCGACAGCTAACAACTTCTACGCGCGATGCCTCCCAGATTCACTAAGGGAAAGCATCACTAACATTCATAGAGGAGACAACGTGCGTAGAAAACACGGATGCATACACTCCAGACTAGACATCTTCAGAAATAGATAGTAACCCCCCCATAACAGCGCCAAACATACTAACGACAATTCACACCGACTAGATACCCAAAATATCTGGTCGGACGGCGGACTGCACGCTGGCTCGGCCACTGGGACATCGACCGAAAGCCCTATACACCTTCGATCGATGTCCGGGTGGAAGTACCAACGTTCACTAAGCCAGTGGATTGTGACAATAACCAAAGACTAAACAAAGACCAACTCACATACAAGGACAACCCTGTTTTTTACTAGCTTTTTCCAGGGGACAATAACCACAACTAAGACACGACAAAACTTAAAAATACTTCTCAATTATCGATTCAAAAACATCCAAATCCGTCAATAATACCGTTACGGTAAGGAGTGAGGGCCGCTATAATTAGAATAACAATCACCCATCGGTTCTAACAGGCAGATATGTCTGCCATGGTCCCCGGGCCCGCATGAAACCTTAGGTCTCACGTCGAATTGTTTTTACCAGTGTGTGAATATGTAGATAAATTTATATTGTAAATAAAGAATTTTAAAACCGATTTAAAACCGAACCACGGCCGAGGGCGATTCCCGTCCGCGACTTTGGCGCTTTCGGGTGGTTTTACAGTACAGAAGTCCTGTGAATTGTGACAATAACGAAGACTATCGAAAGACCAACACACATTGCTGACAACCCTGTTTTTTCCTAGCTTTTTCAGGGGACAATGACCAAATTAATCCACGACAAATCTCCAAACTCTGACAATTACTGACTTCAATACCGACAAAAACCCTCAATAATGCCTCTCTGGCAAGGAGTGAGGGCTGCTATGTTTTAGCTCAATAATAATAACTAACAGCTATTTGTAAAATTGGTGAAATATCGCCATAGGCCCAGCAGGTAACTGTGTAAGCCAACCATGACCCCCGGGAAGTGTGTTTT